AAAAAAAAGAAAAAGAAAGAAAGAAAGAAAAAAAGTCTCCCTTTTTTGTAATATTTCATTTGTATATATAAGATTACATAAACAAACGCAAGTATGTAAACACAAATAATGATTATTTTTTTCTCTTTATTTTTTTCAATATTCGATTTCCTAGTGTGAAATTACACAAATGAGCAAAGACCTGTTAACCCTAATATAAACTACATAACAAACTTTTTCTTTTCTTTTCTTAATATTCAGTTTTCTTATGTAAAAGATATACACAAAATATGAATATATAAACGACCTTTGAGATACCTTTGTGGAACCTATTAACACATATAATATTCACATAACAAAACATTTTCGTTTTTCTCTCAACTCCTAATGGTTAATTTCATGTAGAAATTACACACACTGAAACTGAGAACGACCCCTGTGAACATATATAATAATAATTTCGTAACAAAACCTTCTTTTCTTTTTTCTCTCTTTTATTAGTGCTGAATTTCATGTAAGTAATTACTCAGACTATAAAAGACAGAACAACCCCTTGTGAAACCTGTTAATATATATAATAATTCCATAATAAAACCTTTTCTTTTTTCTCTCTTTTCTTAATACTGAGTTTCCTCGTATAAAATATAAAGAGATGACGTCTACGCAAATAATACTTATGGAACAAACCCCTATCTCCTTTCTTTTCTTTTAACTTGATATTAAATTCCTTATGTAATATGTAATATATGTAATATATTAATCTCTAAGACGACCTTAAAGATACCGTACCCCTTGTCAGATCCGGTGAAGTGTTCACGACCAGGGGCGCAGTCAGGTTTTTGGCGTTGTCATCATAGTCATTGTAAGATGGGGGCGGGGAGGTGGTCGTGGTGGTAGGGGGGGTCGTCGTGGTGGTTGTCACGACTTCTGCAGAGGAGAGAGGAAGAAGCAATAAGAATTAGGGGATTTGTTTGGAGTCCGGGGGAAGAAGCTGCTATGGAAACTATTTTCTCTTTCTTCTAGGACGTGAGAAACTTGTGTTGATATTAACCATTTCTCTACGTGGCGTTTTGTTCATAATGGGTTTTGTTTTGTTTTCTTTAGTTTTTGCCAAAGGAAAGTTTTACTTAAATTATTTGATAGAGCGACTTTTGCAATGACATTTTTTGTATTATGTTTTATTGTTCTCGCAAAAACAACAACAGCATAACATACAAGCAAAAAGCTAAACCGTGTTAACACTTTCAATTATACAATACAATACGTTGTCCAATCCACAACATAACGCTTTGCGCACATTATACAATATCATTTATTAATATTTCTCTATACTGATTTATATTTCTCTAAATTCCCAAATACTACTAAAATATATCAGTACAGCATGTTGCTTTGCAAAACGAAACGCAAAATCTATTCTATCGCTTGCAGAATCAGCTGATACCGACACTAATTTCAGCTAATTGTATCCTCATAATTTTGCTCACGAATAAGCTAATTGAAATACATGTATTTTAGCCTGTTTTGAATTTTTGAAAAGGTATGTTTGTAAACTACTAAATAACTATGTATCTTTTTTTTATATAATTTAAGTAACTGAAGCTGGATATATAATCATAATTGAATAAATTATGTCAAAATCATGCAGGCTTAATGAGTAGAGTGGAGTAATTGTGAATGCTAATGTTAATGAATACAATTTTTCATACCGATAATATGAATGATGGTGCTACTGAATTATAATTAGGCACTTGAAAATGCTACTAACGTTAATGATATTGAAATAATTGTGATTTTATATAATTAGAGATGGAAAGAGATCCTTGTATATATAACTTATAAATAGTGTTTATATATAATATACTCTATGGTTCTGAAGTGTCTATTAAGGATGCTTTTTATATATGAATTATAAATGATTCTTATATCTTTATTAATGTTATTATATTGGGATTAACACATCAATATAATACAAATGTGGTATATAAGCAACAATGATATAGAAAATAAAAAACAATAACCAAATAAACAATTACAGGAAATAATAGCAATATTAAGATTTCAAATTTAAGAAATGACGTTGAAATTAATCCTAATTATTTTGACATAGGAAATAACGTTAACAATCTTTATAATAGTTTTAATATAAGAATGCTAATAATGACGATAATTTTAATGTAAAAAGAACATTAATGATAATTCTTGTACAGGGAATACCATTTATAATGGTTCCAACAATTGTAATATCGGAAATATAATTTCTAATCATCAACAGACTGAAAATAACATTAAAAAAAAAAAATTCTAACCATCCCAACATAGAATATAACCTCAATAACTAATTTCTAACCATCCCAACAAAGAAAATAACAATAAGAACAACTAACCAATATAGAAAATGAACATTAATAACAATCCCACTAATTCTAATTCTGAACACACACTACGATACCTGAATAGACACAGCTGCTGACCCCCGTATAGCAGAGCTTCCCCCTGTGAGTTCTTGATGATGCAGGTGTAAGCGCCGAAGTCCGAGAGCACCAGGTTCCTCATGCTGAGAGTCATGTTGTGGCTGGCGGGGGAAGAGAGAGAGAGAGAGGGTGATGTGCGCGCGTGTGTTTGGGGGTGGTGTGGTGTGTGGGGCTGGGAGGGGAGGTGGGAGGATGGGAGGGAGGAAGGGTGGTGTGGGGGGTGGGAGGGTTGGAGGGAAGGGGAGGAAGGGTGGTGTGTGGGGTGGGGAAGGTTGGAGGGATTGGAGGGAAGTGGTGTTTGTGTATGTGAGGAATGGGGAGGAGGGAGGGAGGGTGTTGTGTGTGGGGATGGGGGGAGGGGAGGGAGTGGGAGGGGGTGTTTGTGTATGTGAGGATGGCGAGGAGGGAGGGAGGGGTGTTTGTGTGTGGGGATGGGAGGGGGGGGAGGGGAGGTGGGAGGGGGTGTTGTGTGTGTGGGGGTGAGAGGGAGGGGAAGGGTTTTCTGTGTGTGTGGTGGGGAGGGAGGGAGGGAGGGATGGGGTGTTTGTGTGTGGGGGTAGGGAGGGGGGAGGGAAGGGGGGAGAGTTTGTGTGTGGGGGGGGGGGGGGGATTGTGTGCGTGTAAGCCTGTATAAGTCTGTTTATTTACCTGTTTCTGTGCGTTAGAGTACTTGGGTGTGAGTATCAGTGTCTATGTGTGCGTATCTGTATGTGACGAGTACATGAACGCAAAGAATAACAAAAACAAAAAACACTAGATCATCCTTAAAGAGACAATCGAATCTCACGGTTTTCCACGATCCTGTCTTAAATATCACGAGAGCACCGCCTGAAGTTCTGAGACGACAGCGATTCTGAATCCGTTTCCGAGATACATCTTCAATCTCTTTACAATATAACTTGATTATACAAACTTTATAGACACTGCGTTGCAGTGTGGAGGAGCATAAGACTGAGTTTTAGATTTACATTTTTATCTTTTTTATGTTTCTTTTTTTCTTCTATTTTTATTGTGCTTTACATTTATAATACCTGCTGTAAGAGGGATTGGATTTCCTGAGAAAAAGTATGGCAATAAAAAGCAGATTAAAACACTTTAGAACTCTAAAGTCTTTTGATTTAAGAGATGTAGATCCTGCTTTTTCGAATAATCTCTTGAGGGAAGATTGAACAGACTTAGTAAGAGGGGAAAACTATTAATTATACACCGGTTACTTACTCTCCACAAAGGCTTTGAAGAGGAACAAATGGACGAGAGAGAGAGCAGAGAGAGAGAGAGAGAGAGAGAGAGAGAGAGATGAGAGAGAGAGGAGAAGAGAGGAGAATGAGACGAGAGAGAGAGACGAGAGAGAGAGAGAGAGAGTGAGAGTGAAAGTGGTGTATGTGTGTGTGTGTCGGTGAGAGAGATGAGGAGATGGAGAGAAAGAGAGAAGGAGGCGAGTGAGAGCTGAGAGGGAGAGTGAAGCGAGGTGAGAATGAGAGAGCGAGATGAAGAGAGAGAGACAGAGAGAGCAGAGAGAGAGAGAGAGAGAGAGAGACGAACGAGAGAGAGAGAGAGAGAGAGAGGAGAGAGAGAGAGAGAGAGAGAGAGGAGAGCAGACGGTAGAGAGAGTTAGAGTGAAAGTGTGTGTGTCGTGTGTGGAGAGAGAGAGGAGGAGAGAGAGAGAGAGAGATGAGAGAGAGAAGAAGAGATGAGAGAGAGAGAGGGGGAGTTAGGAGGGAGAGTGAGAGAGAGAGTGAGAGTGAGAGTGAAGAGTGATATGTGGTGTTGTGTCGTGTGAGAGAGAGAGAGAGAGAGAGAGAGAGAGAGACGAGAGAGAGAGAGAGATGAGAGAGAAGAGAGAGAGAGAGAGAGAGAGAGAGAGAGAGAGAGAGAGAGAGAGAGAGAGAGAGAGAGAGAGGAGAGGACCGTGGAGAGTGAGAGTGAGAGCGAGAGTGAAAGCGAGAGTGAGAATGAGAGTGAAAAGAGACAAGAGAAAAGAGAGAAAGAGAGAATCAGAGAAAAAGAAAAGATGAAAAGGAAAAGGAGTGGAAATGACTTACAAGAGAACAGAAATACATCAAGGAAAGTGGCGGAGCTTGATCCCGTAGCAAAGTAAAAGATAACTAACTATATAAGTGAGTAAAGTAAAATAATAAAAAGTAGATAAGTCAGTTATAAAAGTAAATAAGTAAGTAAAATAAGTAAGTGAGTAATTTAACTAAACAAGTAAGTTAAGTAATAAATAAGTTAAAAAAGTAAAAAGGTAAATGAGTAATTAAACAACTTAGTAAAGTAGATAAGTAAGTAAAAAGTGATTAAGTAAAATTTATTAATATACAGATAAATGAAACAGTAAGCGATTAAACGAATAAATTAATCCGAAAATAAAGTAAATAAGTGAATAAATGAAACAATGACCAAAACATGAAATTATCTGAAAAAAGAAGAGAAAAAAAAAATAAAAAAATAGAAAAATAAACTCACATAATTGGTGGGTGGTCATTTATAGCTTAATAAAGATAACAAAATAAACAAAGTAAAAAAAGAAAGAAAAAAAAAAAAAAA